GCAGCAGGGAGGCTTTTTTCAAAATCAGTAAAACTTTATTCTATTTCCATTCTTTGCCATTAACAGAAAAAATTGGAGAAAGCAATGTTTGTTTTACAAAGATAATGCATCTCCCAGAGAAGAAAACCCTAAATTGAGAATAGAGGTAACATGAAAAAAACAAAACAAAACAAAAAAACCACAGTACTGCCCTCTATTCGAAGAAAGTAACTCCTGATCTTTTTGGTTAAAGTAATACTTAGACCAATCATTCAGTTTTCTTGCTTGATAAAGCGTGACTGGGGAAATGGAGGGGCGGGGGGGGAAGGGGAGAAAAGCACACAGACATCAACTATTTCACCTTGATGAAAGTCTCAATACAGCTATGGAAAGCCTAAGTATTTATTCTTTTACAGTACACTGGGTGCCGGCTGCAAAAAAGAAAAAAAAAAGTATTCACTTCAGGCACAACTTCTTTCTTTTTAAATTTAAATCAGTAAAAGAAACTGGGTTTAAAGCTGCAGTGTTCTAAGCAGCAGCAGATTTGTGCATTGTTTTAAATATATTTAAATTACCACACTGATGGCACACCTCAGCCTTATGAAATTCTGCACTATGTGTGTTTCAGAACGCTACAAAAGTAAGTTTACCCTGGAAAGAGACTTTCACTGAGCTCTAAGAACTTTGCTGGCTAAAGAGTCAAGTTAAATGAAATACGAAAACATTGCTAACATTTGGCCATCAACTTAAGTTATCTGAATATTCATACAGATTTTATATCAAGTTGAACTTATTCCACCCTCCTATGGTCCTCAGAATTTGAACAGAGTGAGCTGAAGTGAGCCTTCCGCTGCCACTTGGAAGGAAAGACATAATGCGATTGAGCACTAAGGCATAGTAATACCTTGGCCAAAATAACAAAGATAAAGCATAGATAATTGTAGTGCAGAATTCCGTAAGGTCTACCAGAGTAGAGCTGTCTATAATGTTTACTCACATAGGCAATGTAGATTTGCAGTTACCAGTTGCGTTAAATGCACCATTCAAAACAAGCTTCTAAAATGTGATACTATAAAGGCGCCACCTTAAGTTCTCCAGAATGCAACTGTGCATAATTTTAAAATGGTTTCATAAATTTATTTTAAACATAACATGAGAAGGTGTTAAAACCGGTGTAATAGCTTCTTAGAATTTGGAGGAAGGGATGAATAGGGAGATATTCAGTACCCTTCACCAGCCCCCACACTCAGTCGTACATCAGGTATGGGTGTTGTGGATCAATCTATAACACCAGCTTGACGGATCTTTCTCTCTGCACCAAATCCCTGCAAGGAAAACAAAACAAAACAAACTCTTAGCTGCAGTGTCAACGCTTGAAAGCAAACCTGTTCTGTTCCAACCAAGTACAGCATTAACACATTTCTAGTTAGCCACATTGGTCTTCAGAAACAGAGCCAGTAAAAAAACAGGTTCTGTGGGTTGCTCTTTATAGTCCTATATACTCCACAGATTCCAGACACTGTACTCCTCCTGCTTATCATGCGGTGGCAGAACCTTATGTGAAAGCCAAGTTTAGATAAAGGGATTTTGTTTATTATCTCTCAGAAGGGCAGCAGGAGGTTTATAGAAAAAAAAAAAACAAACAGACAATTCTTCTGAAACCGCAGCATACGTTACTGACACAGGGTATAGCACCCTGACTTCACTGTGGAATGAAAGCAAGCACCATGTTTTGAACAGTTTAGGCTTCCAACAGAGGAAGCAATGTTGTGTTATTTAAGTTAAAACATGAACTGCAGTTATTCTGCAAGCTAGCCTTTTATCTTACGTACCTTCGAGTTATCCGGTCCCCTAGGCTGACGAAGAACTGTTAGACGAGGAGCATTGGCATCATCCAGATTAATGCTCTTTAAACGATTAACCAGTCTGTCAGGACGTGGAGCAGCAACAGCCTTAGCGCCTTCACTGTAACAGAGCCAACCACACAGAGCAAGGATGACTTCCCAGAGATGGTGTAAACTACCTAATTTATAGTCACTTTCCCCATTAAGCCATTAGCATAATCCATCTCACGTGAAAGCAGACCTTCTGGATGACACCATGTATATGTCTGCCTCAAAACCATTACTTTTAACACAGGACTCTCTCATAGCAGCAGCTCCAAACAGTATTCTCAGGAAGGTATTTTTTAGTGAGCAGAGGTGCTACTAGCTATATATGCATGAGAGTAAATGCATTTCCTACATTTCTGATCCCTTTAACCGGAATAACAGAAGTGTTAAAGTCACCAGTACATAATGGCATAGCATTAACATCTCTTAAGATGATGGGAACAGAATTTGAAGAGAAAAAATTAAATGTTAGCTTCCTGTTGCTGTAGAAGTGCCATCTCAAGCTTAAGCAAAATCCAAATTGTGCCATTTTCTTCAAAATGTGTAAGTAGTTCAAAAGCAAAAAAAATAGCCATCATCCTTAAGAAATGACATGCCAAAAAGAAAGGAGCACCTAACATTGTTTTTCTACTTAAAAATGAAAGTTGCTCTTCAGGAGACAGGTGGAAGCACTATGTGCTGTGCCGACCAGGGAGGCCAGCAACTACACAGGAATGTGATTGGTTTCCTTATAATTCATTAATTTCTATCTTAGAAGGCTGTACCCAAGTTCCTGCTATGGGAGGGGGAGCTTCTTAAGAATAGATTATAAGAAGAACAAGCTATCTGCAATTAAGAAAAGCTTAGAGTTCTGCTGCTGCACTGTACTGGACACCCTACAAGTGCTGGCAGTTCTCAGGTGGGAGGCTCTCACTGAAGCTAGATGAAATTCACAGCTCCCATTCTAGCAACAGCCAGCTCAGTTTAGAAGCAGCATGCACTCCACTACTGTGATGTGGACAGCATACCAGATTAAATCACTTTAATTCTAAATTCTCACCAGACACGCCACACGTTACAGGCACTGCATTTTCCTGTGCGCTGGTTCAGGATTACAGAGAACTCCACTTCATCCCCAGCCTGCAGCTCCACACCATCCTGAACTTCTTTGACATGGAAGAAGAGCTTTTTGCTGTCACCCACTTCATAATTAATGAAACCAAACTGAAAACCAACACATCATAGGGTTATTTCTTTCCTCTTGATCCAAACAGATGCAATGACTTATTATTGCAGTTTAACTGTTTCTACAAAAACAACCCCAAACCTCTGAAGTGCCTAATGGAAGTGGAAATGTGATTTATACACTGAACAGAATATTCTGTCTGGAAACAATACTTCAAGGAGAGTGCCTAGACTTCCAGGGTTTGTAAAGTCACATTTAAACCCCAAAGTCTATAGAACAAGTTCTGAAAACTGCCAAGAGTCCTGGCAGCTGTATTGAACAGAGAAAAGCGCCGCTACGCATTCTTTTCTAAGACTCCACCTTAAAAGTTACACAGCTGAAACCACTCCATTTTTTTGATCCGACACTGGTATAAGAAGTCTGTTACCTCCATTTACTGTTCCACTCACATATAAACCAGCAAGTCATCTAGCCTCTCCATAAATGACTAGCACTTAGTGCTGCAGAATAACTGTAACAATAGAAAGCATTCACAGCACTTAATTTTCTAACCATTCTGAGATACAATTAACTAGGGCAATAATCA